CACTTGACCCAATTTTGAGGAACAACATTGGAATATTTTTGTAGTGTGTATTTAATAAATGGTTTGGTTATCTTTAGTTAACATTTTTACTATTATAAAATCTATTTGCAATATTTTTTCACAAGAATAATAAATAATTTTTTTTTTCATTGTATCATTTTTAGCTCACCTGAGCCGAAGGCTCAAGTGAGCTTTTCTGATCAAAATTTGTCCGTTGTCTGTCGTTGTCGTCGTTAGCGTCGTTGTCGTAAATTTTTCACATTTTCATTTTCTTCTCAAGAACCAGAGGGCCAATTTCATCCAAACTTGCTACAAAGTATCCTTGAGTAAAGGGAATTCAAGTTTGTTCAAATGAAGGGCCACGCCCTTTTCCAAGGGGAGATAATAATGAATTAGAGAAAAAATAATGGCATTTTAAAAAAAATCTTCTTCTCAAGAACCACTGGGCCAGCTGAAAAGATGAAACTCATGTGGATCATCCTCAGGTAGTGTAAATTTACGTTTGTTCAAATCATGACCCCCAGGGGTAGGGTGGGGCCAAAATCGCCGATCAAAGTTTTACATAGGAATATATAGGTAAAATCTTTTAAAATCTTCTTCTCAAGAACCACTGGGCCAGAAAAGATGAAACTCATGTGGAATCATCCTCAGGTAGTGTAGATTCAAGTTTGTTCAAATCATGACCCCCAGGTGTAGGATGGGGCCAAAATGGTCGATCAAAGTTTTACATAGGAATATATAGTAAAAATCTTTAAAAATTTTCTTCTCAAGAACCACTGGGCCAGAAAACATTAAATTCATGTGAAATCATCATCAGGTAGTGTAGATTCAAGTTTGTTTAAATCATGACCCCCAGGGGTAGGGTGGGGCCAAAATCGCCGATCAAAGTTTTACATAGGAATATATAGGAAAAATCTTCTTCTCAAGAACCACTTGGCCAGGGAAGATGAAACTTATTTGAAATCATCCTCAGGTAATGTAGATTCAAGTTTTTTCAAATCATGACCCCCAGGGGTAGAGTGGGGCCAAAATCGCCGATCAAAGTTTAACATAGGAATATATAGGAAAAATCTTTAAAAATTTTCTTCTCAAGAACCACTGGGCCAGGGAAGATGAAACTTATTTGAAATCATCCTCAGGTAATGTAGATTCAAGTTTTTTCAAATCATGACCCCTGGGGGTAGAGTGGGGCAAAAATGGCCGATCAAAGTTTTACATAGGAATATATAGCAAAAATCTATAATAATCTTCTTAAGAACCACTGGACCAGGAAAGATGAAACTCATGTGGAATTATCCTCAGGTAGTGTAGATTCAAATTTGTTCAAATCATGACCCCTGGGGGTAGGGTGGGGCCAAAATGGCCGATTAAATTTAACATAGGAAATTAGGAATATATAGGAAAAATCTTCCTCTCAAGAACCTTTGAGACAGGAAAGATGAAACTCCTATGGATCATCCCCAGGTAGTGTAGATTCAAATGTATTCAAATCATGACCCCGGCGGTAGGGTGGGGCCAAATGGCCGATAAAAGTTTTACATAGGAATTTCTAGGGAAACCTTTTAAAATCTTCTTTTCTAGTACTTAAAAGCCATGCTTAGTGATATTTATAGGGAATCATCCTTAGGTAGTGTGGATTCAAGCTTTGTTCAAATCATGACCCCCTGGGGGGTTAAAATTCAAGCCCCCCGTTCAGTAAAGTTTCAGTGCTGATCTGATGTATGCTTTTTTCCTAGCCAATTGCTCAAGTGAGCCATGTGGCCCCTGGGCCTCTTGTTAACAAATCCTTCCAAAGGAAAACCATGCAGGCACCATTTTGTCTGTTTCAGCGCATTCTGATATGATCAAATGCCGCATACGGTGTTGTTTTTTCTGATTTTTATTAGTACATACATTAAGGTAGGATTCTTCTCTGCTTTCTGACTAGATGAACTATTCAAAGTATATTTGCTTATACACTCAACATATATTTCTTTCTTCATCACAATTATACAACTTTAAATAGAAATGGTAAACTGTATTTGAAAACTAGCAGGGACTATATTTTTGGCGGAATGGTGGCGTATGAAAATATTTTCTTTTCTGTCTCTCAGAATTATCATAGAACAATAATATACATTTATTGACTGAGTTCGAGGGCAACATGCGTTTTGTCGGACCCAAGAACCAAACTGTCTGCCTGAGGCCGTTAGGCCGAAGGCAGACAGTTTGGTTCGAGGGTTCGACAAAAAGCATTTTGCCCGAGAACTCTGTCAATAAATGTTTTGTTATACCTTTCATTTTATTTTATTTATTTTTTTATTTACATGTATTTTGTACTTTATTCCGTGATGTAACACCAGATCTATCACTGTTTAACACCAGCGAATGAAAATGAGATTAAGCTCCGCCCACTCTGTGACGTAAGCGGTCCAACATCTCTCCGAGCGGTCTAACATCTCACTCAGCGGTCCAACATCGATTTTTTTATGCCCGCTCAGCAAAACATTAAAAATGTTAGACTTTTTTTCGTATAGAATTGTATAGGAACAAATTTCTAAAGGTAAAACAAATTTAGTTAAATGTTTACACAATTAAAGAATAGAAAAAAATTTTCAAATGTAAGCTTTATTAACAAGGAACCTAAGTTTTAAAATATATCAAATAAATATGAATTTCCAAACACACTACAATTATGTTAGTTTTTTAAGAGCTTTCAATCTTAGTACAGATATGAGCCAAAAATCCATATAAAGTGTTTTACTCTCTTATTAAACCGTCAATTTTTTTTTGTTTTTGTATCTTTATGTCTCTCTATACTTCTTCTTAACCATATGTGAAAATAAGAAAAATTTAAATATAGGGCGCATATCAAAATAACTTTAATGTCCAAAAAAAAGATGAGAAAATAGAGGAAATTCGGATGAGCCAAAATCCATTTTTGTTAAACTATTTTTGTCAATTTGGTAACATCATTTTATATCTAGCCTATATGGTAATATCTTTTTATGCACAAAAAAACATTTTTCTTTGGAAGTAAAAGACCCATTCGCATGATTGGATGCAGTTATTTTTATTCTAAATGACCAGGGAAAACGTAATGACCTTGACCTGATCTTGATTCTAATATAAAACGATCAAAACTAATCGAACTGTTACCATCACTTAGTACTATTTCTTCTCGATTCCTTGAAAATTTCATTAATTCTTAAATACAAGAAATACAGTTTTTGTGTTAGAAGAATCCTACCTTAAATTATTTATGTCAATTTGGTTATATCACCTTATAGGCTTCTCATGGTATGATCTTTTTATGCAAAAAGAAAAACATTGAATGTTTAGACATAGAAGTTGGCATCGAAAGATTGGTAACAGTTTTTTTATATTCTTTATGTCCAGAAAAAAAGATAACGACCTTGATCTGATCTTGCTTCTAATATAAAACGGTCAAATTGAATTTCACTGATACCATCACTCAGTGATATTGTCTTCTTGATTCTGTGAAAATTTCATTAATTTTTAGATACAAGAAACATGAGAATAATCCTGTCTTACGGAAAAAAGCAAAGAAAAGAATAAAAACGTATTCTTCCAAAGAAACCATAGACTTTTTTCATTTTTTTCTATGAAAAGGTTTTGCTACAGTTAACATCGTAATTATATATCAATGTAGACAATGAAATGTTTCCTTTTTTGCGTAATCAGCATTATAATGTATAAAAACATTAAATCAAGTTTAGAAAAGTAAAATATTACTTTCATATGGTGGGGCGTTAGCAACTTTATCTATTGTACAGTATATTATACCTGCCAGGATGGAACTTCAACGGAAAGTAAAGGTCACATGTGTCAATCCTTGTCCATCTTAATGTAGAGAAAATAAATCCTGATGTTCACCTGAAATGCCACGTGGAGGGATGAACATTCCCTGTTGACAGGTCACAAGCGCAGTGTACATATTGTCAGGAAGTGTGCGAATGCAAAAAAATAAACAACTGAAAATTGAATACAGTCTAGTGTGTTAAAATAGCATAACAATTTGTACAAAAAACGTCAGTAAGCATTTGACTTCGTATTGATATTGATAGATTTTATTTGCCATGAATGGCACTGTATCAACCATAAATTGCGAAAAGAGTACTTTAAACAATGCAGTTCAGTTCTTGTTCATCGACTGGTTTCTTAATATCTTGTTTCAATCAGAAAATTGTTTGTACCCAGAGCATGTTCGAACATTTCTAATCAACTCTGATACAGATACCCTGTATGCAGATAATGCGGATATATTGCTACCTGTTCATCTACTTGTTTGTCAATAGCTTTCCTCGTTTTAGAAATTTTTCGTTCGTATAGCATTCACAACAGTGAAGCATATCCTACATAATCAAAATGTTACGGGTACATTAAAACATGTTCGTCATCATGTTATTCAATAACATATCTCATTTAAGAAATTGTTTGTTTTCATGATATACAAACTTATGCAAGAGCTTAACAAAATATTGTAAATTCTAAGAAGCCTACAAAATTTCTACATATCAACATCATTATCTGAAAAAAAAAAAACATCTGACAAAACGGCGTGACAGAAAATAATATCGACCTGTCAAAAAATAATGACGACTGGTAAAAAAAAATAATGTTGATTTGTCAGATACATGTATCATCATGACAAATACATGTCATACCGTGACTTTAATATGTCTGACATATTAAAATATTTTTTAAGACGCCATAATTATCTGATAAGTTCACTTAAAAATCTGACACCTGGCAAATGGTGGCAGAAATATTGTCAGGTACTGAAAATGTGCTTCATTAAAATTACGACCCATGGGAAAGGAGTGGACCACACTATGTGATCAAATTTGTAAATTAAAGTAAACATTAAGTCATAACATATGGCAGGGATCATAGTTAAAGGACCATGGGTCTGTTGTTTTTAGTAAATCTATACCTATCACTTAAAGTTAACATCATTACATATTGATGTAAACTAATATTTATTGGACGCATTTTAGGATATTGCTTGAATCCATGCGATGTATCTATTTCAAACCTTTGGACCAACAGGCGCCACAAACTGTCAGAATTAGTTTTTAAATATGGACATCAAGAAAGGCAGATTTCTTTGAAAGAATTTTGTCCAGATGATTATTACAATTTTTTCGGATATCGGCGTACATTGGAAGTTGTAAGACTGTCTGTGGATTGTAGCAATCAGAGACTTGGTAAGAAAATATTCATCAAATACTGTTTAAATGATAAAAAGCCAAGTTGTCAAAATATTTTTTAAAAGATGTGTACATTTACGAGTAAAGGATTTATTTATATTTCATCTACGCTATTAAGAAATATTAATAAATTAATTCAGTGTAATCATTAATAAATATTTGCAATTTTTTTTTACATTTGAGTTGAATTTGAAAAATTTTGTTTCATTTATGCCATTATTGTTAATAAAGGATATCTTGGAAGTTTTACACATTGGAATACTCAAATTCATTTATTGATATAAGTTATATTTTGTTATCCTATGAAAGAATTTTTATGCAATTTTTGCTATAGTTTAACTATTAAAGAACATCGGAAGTGTGGCAAAATACTGTATTCTTTTATGCAAACCTTTGTTATTAAAATAAAATATTAGTGCTACATGTATATTTTAAAAGATTTCATTCAGGTTTACATTTCCGTAGAGATGCACATTCCTAGATGAAACTGTATATTAGGTTTCTTCTTTTTTCGCATGTTGGACATTTGGAGAAAAGGGGAGGGGGTAAATTTGTACAGGTTTTACATTCCGTAATGTACTTTTATACGATTGGAGATTTTTTTTCTTCAAATGGTAATGTTTCATGTCACATAATAACCGATATAAGTTTAATTTTAGCATTATAAATTTAAATGTATGCATTTGACAATGCAGGAAAATAACTGCACAGAATTTTGAATTGAATATAACTTTGACATCATGTACCTGTTCAATTGTATATTACATTATATCAGATTAGCAATTAAGGACAGACGCGACGTTCCTTAATAATAGATAAATTTTTCTAAGAGTTTGTCATTGAAGTGTTGCTACTTAAACATGTTTACTCACAAAAAATTGAGGTACCTTACCAGGCATTTCTGCAAGATACCACGGGTAGTTTTTCTTATATAATCCTTTGGGGAAGAAAAATAATTTTCTAAATTCAAATGTTTGAGTGTTTGGATTTTTTAAAAAAAACGGTTAGAAACTGGTTTAGAAATCAGAATGTTATTAAAATTTTGAATATTTTTCAAACATTACGAAGATAAACAAAACAGATTCTGAGGAGCGTCTCGTCTGACCTTAAGGGATAGTTGTATTCAATTCAACAATAACTTCTAGGGATAGGGTACAGATAATGATCTTTTGCAATAATATTACAGAAGAAGATTCAAATACAAATATATGTATTTTAGATTATATCCATGCTCTCTGCGACATTAACAGTGATTGTGGAAATAATGCTGACTGCAACCTAATCTTAAATGGTGGGATAGGTGTGTGTTTCCGCAAATCAGAGCATATCAGGATCAATGGAGAGTGCTACGATGGTATATCATTTATGTTTTTTTCCAAACATTACAATACCCATCAAATATAAAAGTAAGATTTATATAGCTTCAATATTTATTTATTTAGATTTTTCTCCATAATATTTTGCAAAAGCATCATTTTTTTCTTCATAAAGATAGACCAGGTTGAATATTAATTAACTGACACGATTTTTAATATCAGTTTCAGTTTTTCCGTAACGCAAATTCAAAACGCTAGTTATTAAAGTGAAAAAAACTCTTTTTTGGGCAAGTTCAACATGTACAATTCAGTAAAAGTTAAAGTAGAATTTGAAAAAGAAAAAATAAAATTAATATTTAATGACTCATTATGTTCAGTGTTTTGTTTGACACAAATGAAAATGCAACGTTGGAATCTGAATAAGAACAAGCTTCGGTTTCAATACAAATATTGTCCTGCGTTTTTTTTTTTAATATGAAAAGTTGTAACACAATAAAATAGTAACCCACTTTTTTCATGGAATCCTTCTTAAGAAAATATTGTTCACAAATATCGCCCACAAAGATTTTTAAAAGATACGAGATTTTTTGCTGAATTTTACACAACATATCCAAAAAAAAAAGTGGGCGATGGCTGTGGACATTATTTCTGAAGGAAAATTACCCTTCAAATCGGATATTTTGCGGATTTTCTGTTTAAAGGAGATAAAATACATCAAGTTAATGACGTCATATTTCCTGAATGATACTCCCTTATGCCAAATTCTTTCCTGATCTACTACAGACATTTACTTTACTAATATTTAAGGCCGTTTCAAAACTTTTCGAAAATATAAAGATGTAACTAGAATTATCGTACAGATAATGTGCATAATAGCTTTTGAAAGTTTTCTTAAAGCTTTCCAGAAAATTCAAATGAAGATAGCGATAAAAACATTAGCAAGAATATGTCTATCAACTCTGATGATATAACAACAATATCAAATTTTCAAGACAAACAATGTTATACAAGTCCTGTTATGTAAAGGGAATATAATATGTACATTGTATCTGATCTTTAAGATGAGAATTTAAGTATTCTCCTTTCTTTGGACAGCATTCAACAAAATAACTTATTGAAGAACTGAATTTATTTAAAAACCAGAACTTCCATGCAATATCAAGGTATTTGTGACAACCAAAAAAGATAAAAGTCTATGTATATAATTTATAGTAAATGAAAAACCTTTCTGTATAGGAAAGTAGGCAAAAGTCTTCAGCTTGACAGATCTAGATAAAAACCGGAAAACATTTATTGTCTGCCTTTTCTAACAACCCAAACAACTATTGAATCAATTCAAAATCATTCATTATATTTTGACAACCAATAGATTAATGTTTGAAATACGTAAAAGAGACTCTACATTTTGTAAATTTTTGAAACAGAGGAAGAATAAATTAGATGTTTAATTTGGCAATATCCAACTCTACAGATTTCTAGATTGTTTTGTGTCGCCTGCAATGGCGCAGTGGTTAGAGCGTCTGTTCTAGAGTCGCGAAGTAAGGAGTTGATTCTGGTTCGAATCCTAGTGTTTGATGGGGAACTCGGTCTTCACGGAGACCGTATAAACCGAGGTCCCTTGTTGCAGTAGGTGCAAGCACGGAAAAGATCCCTCCCTGTTCAATGGCTCAAAGTGTCGAGTATAGAACAAAAAATTCGCAGCTCTCCACCAGCAAGTGGTTGCATCTCCATATGAGTGAAAAATCCTCGAGAGGGACGTTAAATAATATACAATCAATTAATTGATCAGGTAGATGGTTTTGTTAAAAATTGTCAATTTATTATTTCAGACAATGAAGGCGATTGTAAAGTTATATAAGATTTATTTTTTTAGTTGGCGAACGCGGCCACGGCCTTAGGGCTGCCGGATGAAAGATTGGCAAGCCCTCAAATCATTATACATATACATTAAACATTACATTACATACATTACATTAAACATTATGCTACATTAACAATTTGAGGGCTTATAGTTTTAACCATTAATGAATATACATTATTCATAATGTATACATTATGTATTTTATCATTTAACATTATTCATTAATTATTATGCATACATTATGTATTTCATCATTATACATTATGATATTAACATTATACATTATTGGATTTATGATTGAGAAAAATAGACTAAATTATAATGGTACTGGGAAAAGATACTCGGTATTATAATGCTATCAAATCAATAAAAAACAAAAGCGTCGCGAAATATCGCTACATGGTTGTTCAAGCAAAGGGAGAACAACAACCGCTTAAGTTTGGAGGATGAGCGACGCCTAAATTTGCCGGCAACTATACGTTCGCCAACTGGAGAGCAGACCTGTTGCAATTTACATTGTAAGTTATATAGAAATATGTTATTGCCAAGGTCGGAAAGATGAACACCATCTTTAACAAATAATCCAAAAATATCTCGGGATAACTGATATAAAAACCATTATTCACGACAAACAATTTGCTAAGAAAACTGTTAATCTTTTGACTGCCATACTTTGAGATTTAACATTCTTACTGTAGCGCCATGAAGATCTGGGAAGAATATGAGACCACCCCATGATAGTATTTGAAAGTTTAGACCGAATCATTTGAATTGTTCCTTTCATCAATACGCGCAGCTCAAGTAAAGGCACATTACCTATATCACTACCCCCACAGTGAACAATTAAAACATCAGGTGATGGTATATACCTTAGTAGTAGCTGAATGTGGGGAAACAATTTTCTACAAGTTACACTACCCTTGACCTGCCAAAGGATGTGATAATTAAGACGTCTAAGACTCAAATGAGATTTTTCGGTTGAAAGGCTTGCTCGTTCAAAAGCCTACTTGATAATGGATGAGCCGACTATCCAAACTCTTTTTTTTTTTGCCCTATTGTGATAAAATATATTTCACTGATTTCTAATATAAAGTTTATAAGCATTTCAATACCATCTAACCTTTTTTTTTATTATCTCGGATTAAGAATGGCTTTTAGAAAAAGTGTCCGAGGCAGCCCCAGTTTGGAAGGATTGGGAAGTGTAATGTGAATTTGAAAGGCCTAAAAGATTTATAGCTTTATTAAGGACTGACGTAAATTGATAACGGGTAAGTGGACTGCCGTCTATGTGAACAAAAAGGGGACCATTAGTTTTTGGTCTGACAGACAAATATCTTTGTAAATGAAATAGGGGGCATATAACTGGCATAGGTGACTCGCTCAATTGAATTCTTGAACCATTTCCTGATTGGCCAGTCTTTGAAAAAGGGACTGTTAACAATAATATTTTCTTTTTTGCTGATTGATAGTATAAAATTTGTATATCTTTGATGCTGACAACATGATGATTGTCATTTGTTTTATTGCAAGTCACCGACTCCCAAAAAGGCATGATACGCTATTGAGAATGCAAAGCAAAATAGGTATGTTTCAAAATTGGAGGAGCATACTAAACTTGAGCTTGGTATTAGTTTTTCCAATTTTTTTTTTCGTAATTGGTAACCGAAGATCAACTGATTTACGGGAACGTTTTATACCCTCTTATAATTTTCTAACTAGAAAGCTTTAAGTATAATCCGTGGAACCTGTCAACTTGCATTTAAAACTTATACCCGATAAGTACGATAATATTGTGCTGTATGCTAAATCGCGAAGGGACAAGTGAGCAATTAAAATACACAAGTGCGATAGGGGAGGACCCCAAATACCTTCTAAACATAGTCATTCCTGAAAGTAGAAAATATCTTTAAACTATTTGTATACTATAGTTTCGTGTTAGGGCAACTGACTTGAGCGTTAAATGTTCTATTTCAGCTCTAATATCATCTTCATGAAATCTTCTGGGATGTGTACAGGATCTTTGTTCGCTTCTGGTGCGAGAGCCCGGAATCTTCCCCACTGTTTACGGGAAATAGAATCAGCGATAGAATTATTGCAACCACAAATATCATTAGCTCTAAAATACATATTGTTAAACATTGAATGGAGAATTAGAGGATGCACTAATTCCATTACTCTTTTAGATTTAGATGACTTCCTATTTAGAAAAGATACTATAAAGCGATGTTGTCTGTATGAAACATTTTTTTTTATTTTGGTGATGATTTTTGAATAATGCAACTGCCAAAACTATTGGAATTAATTCCAAGAAAGTTACATGTATATCCGACATCGTGTCTGAACCCTGCCATTTAGTGGGACAGGAAAAATTTCGTCCAGTGACCTTGTAGATAAACACCGCAGCCAAGTTGCGAATTTCCTTCGCTGTCCGTAAATAAGTGTAGCTCGAAATTTGAAAGTCAATTAATTTCTTTAAAAAATAAAAGTGCCGTTGAATTGTTCAATGAAACTTAGCCACACTTGTAAGTCGCTCTTCATACCGGTATTAACCCTTATGAAATGAGACGAATGTTTAATACCACACATGGCATCACAAAAACGACGATTATCAAAGATGAAAAACACTTGAAAATAACAGGGATTGCCCAATGCGCACATACCTTGTAGCATTCAATGACAAAACAAGCAAAGGAAAATTCAGAAACTATTTTATTTGGCTGAATGGGCCACGGCCGCTGAAATGAGGGAGCCGAGGCATCAATATTCTGCCTTGTAATGGCATCCCTAAAAATGCAAAGGGAACCCTGGGAACAGATGTTCACCTTTCGTGACTAGTCCAAAATGCACACAATATATTCAATTAAATGACAATAAGTTCCGAAAGCCTACTGGTGAGCCTAATAGCCGCCACGAGACCATGTCAAACATGGTCTGCGCCACCAGTAGGGAAAGCGTGACAGAACTTTAGTAAACCACCCCCTTCCTAAGAAAAACTTACTTTGAACTGCGATATGTCTAAAATAAATTCATTACTGGTCCTAAAATACCATTAATATGCAAATAACTTGGGGGCAAAGTATTGCCCAAATAAGCAAAGTTGTTGTCAGCAATGCAATGCAGAGCGGCAAAATCACTGCCCAAATACTGAGTAAGCGAAAATGTATCGCCAACTAAAGGACTAGTCACAAGCAAATGCAAGGCGCCAAATTACATGTAAGTAAATGACTAGCACTATGACCCCATAACTAGTCATAGCGCAGCCATGGCCCAAACTCTCCCTGTGCTGATAAAAACCTTTCATTCCAGGTATGAAATGAAAACTTGGAACCCTTGCTGTAACCTTTAACTACATCACACCTTGCTGATTAATGCCCCCCCCCCCCCCATGTCGCCGAGGTAAGAATTGAGAACATACTATAATAGTCACTTGACCAGTTTCCGCAAAATTTGAGTAACCCACCCTTATATCTAAATTCTAAAACTTTACAAAATATTACTCAACTTTTAACCTTAAATCTACCAACTTACCCCTTCCAGAAACAGGTATGTGAGGGGACAAATTTTAGGTTAAGCAGGGGGGGGGGTGTCAAATAGGGACAGTCACTCTTCCCAGGGTTATTTCTTTATTACATGTAACTCTTCGGCTTCGTCAATAAAATATACCTTAAAGACTCAGGATTCTCACAATCGTATGCTTGTCTACTGTCTAGAGCCCTTGTAAGTTGTAACTGAGCTTAAAAACCAAAATGAAAACATTCCAAGAAATTCAGGTGCAAAATGTGTCGAGAGGATAATTTGTTGAGCATTTTGCAAGGCTCGCAATTTTAAGGGGGGGGGGGGGGGGGTTTACTATTGATGTCTAAAAGACTGGGATGAACTCGATGCGGGTCTGTTATAGGTATTTGGGGCTGCTTGAGTTTCTGAGGGCAAGGAGCACCATGCTGACTGCGTGTTTGCCGACACAAGATTTGATGGAGAGCGAGTTATATCTTTGTGCTTATTGTGTGGGTGTGGCTGTGAGCAAAGGATACAAGTGTGACTGTACTGACATTGTTGTCTTGGACATGTACCTTTATAATTAAAATCATAACACTTGAGTGATGGGGGTTTGGGTTCTGATCCCTGCACAGTCTGCACCGTCATAGGTCTGTTATACATATAGAGCAACCACAACTCTTGGTCAACTACTGCAAATGATAAAACAGGATTACGCTCTTTTTTAAGACGGAACTGGATGTCATAGTCCCGCCAGCCCAACCCCATAATACGACTGGCGCCTAACCGTATTGTGTGCATATATTTTAACAAAGATACTGCTGCATGGGGATGAGCGGATGCATAAATCGTTGAAAAGATAAGGAAAGCGTCAGTCCATACTTGTATGTCCGTAATGGGTTTTGCTTTAGGCTTATTAGTGACTGCAAGTTTCCCGTCTTTTAGAGAAAAATATTTGGTGTCATCATTGGGGTCAGTTTCTGGGATATTATTAAGCAGTATACCTAAATTTATGTACTCCCCATTGGCAATCTTTATTTTTACATTGTTTGGGACGTTATGTCCTAACTCATTGTCGTAGCTGGGCACAGCTGCCCTACATGCACTAGAAATAATTGTATCACCTGACGTTTCATCCAAAATAGGGGAGGATGCTGGTTCTACTACACCCCCCTGTGATTCCTTTATCAAATCTGCTACGCTTTCAGTGACCTGTCTCAGTTGGTCTGCTGTCAACACCGCTGGTTGCGGAGATGCTGGAAGATTGCTAACTGGTAGCTGAGAATGGTCATGTGCTGAAGGATCCAACAGCAATGAGGGGACAGCCGATGCTGCAGCGACAGCATTCGCCGATCGAGGACCCCGTCCTCTCCTTTGACCTTTCCTTGGCGTGGGCTGACTATTACTGTTTGCTTTGCGCTTCGGCATTCTGTCTATCTGTAGTCGTCTCGCATTAAAAATATAGAAAATATCTTTTACAAAAACAGCAAAAGCTCAAATCATCCGTAATTATAATTCTGTTTAGGATCAAGAATGTTATTATTAGGCTATTAAGAAATTATATAAACACGTGCTGCTCCGCATGGCCGCATGGCGGCATGTTTTGCCTAGATTTTTTTTTTTTTTGTTTGAACCAATCCGTCGTAACTATAACAAATATCTATGCATCGAAGCGTAAAAATGTGCTAAGAACCTTTTCCAAAACTTATAAAAATAAGATAAATATTTTTTTTATAAGACAGACCAGCTAAAACAATGAAAATGATTTGCTGATTCAAAAACACATCCTTACCTTTGAAAGTTTCAGCGTCGACTGATGACACGACTTGGTGTGACGTCAAATGTACTATTTGGGTAACACTAATAACCCCAGGAAAGAGAGGAATAATTCTATACGGGTTGGCTAACATAAACTGTCAACCGAACCCGATCAAAATAAAAATATAAAAAATAAGGTACATGTATTTCACTTTGATAAATGGCTTTAACCTTGATTGGTTAAATCCCATTAAAGGGACGAACTGCTGGAATGGCTTTAGCGCCGAAATTAAGAGACCCTATTAAGGACTGTAGCTCTTTTAATCTTAGTTTAGTTCTTCTCAAGATTGTCTCGATCGTTTTCTTAAGTCCAATGGTTTTTTTCTTCTGGTATACCTAGAACCATTTTTTCTGTGTCAATTTCTATACCGAAAAGAACCAAATGAATGAATGCGTAGGACCAATAGTGTTTTCCTCTGCTAGTGGAATTCCGAATTCAAGACAAGTATTCTGAAAGTTTGACATTAATAATTTACATACTTTGAAATCTCTGGCAGCAAAAATAAAATCGTCAAGATAATGGTTTAACGTTTCTATGCCTGCTTTTGTGACAGTTACCCACTGTAAAAAATGAGCAAATTTTTCCCAAAGGGCACAACTTGTGCCGAACAGCCTATAGTTAAATAAATATCGTAATAAACTTTTTATTGAATTTAAAACCAAATAATTCATGATCTGAAGGGTGTACTGGTAGTAACCGAAATGCTGATTTGACACCCATGGTCTTTTTTGCAAGAAGGAGATTTACCTAATGCTGCAATCATTTCTAAGACTTCATCGAAAGGTGTGTAGTGAACCGTACAATAATCAGGATCGATAAAATCGTTTACACTATTTCCTTTGGGAAATGATAGATGATGTATTAAGCGTCAATCTCCGTCTTTTATAGGAACGATACCTATAGTGATATTCTAAAATTTTGCAAGGGTACTTGATAAACTGGACCTGCGACTCGCCATAATGCAATTTCTTTGTCTATTTTTTGCTTTACTTCGTTCGGGAGTTGCGAAGGTGAAACTGAATTACTACATGTCGATGAAAAACGCTGACCTGAATATTGATTTCAAAATTCTTTTTTAAGTCATTGAAATACACAGCCAGAGAATACACTAAAATGAGTATAACAACAACTGGCAAAATGGCACACCATTCTTTCAGAATAAGATGATGAACCCTGTCTTTAATAATCTTTACTACCTCCTTTATTTATTTGTCGCCCACAATCCTTTTCCACTTATTCCTTATTCCTTCTCTCTCTCTCTCTCTCTCTCTCTCTCTCTCTCTGTCTCTTACACAAATGAATACTTACGTTGTGGAGTTCAAATACTCACAGTAATCAAAAAGGCTCTCTTACAGGCATGCATGTTTAGTGATAGCTGCAATAATGTAGCCCTCTCCGATTTTTTTTAATCTGATATTTTCTGGAGAGGGCTACAATTCCATCGCATCTCCGTAATGGTGCAAATATTTTTTTTTTAATAGGAGCGACTGCAGGCAAAATAAATTATTTTTACATACAACTTACTTCTAATAAGTCGAATTTTTTATTCAATGTCAACAGTAGGCCCCGTTAAATGCAAAAAACTTGTAAAATAACTCTGCATGTTTCCTGGTAGTTTACTTCAGCAGCCATGACAGTTCACGCGTGACGTAATGAGACTTTCGCTTGAAATTTAGAACAACTGAATAAAGCAATTATCGGTGTTTATAAATGTATGTGCTGAATTTCATCACAAAAACATAGGTATATGGGTCATTCTCAAATTTTGTCCAGATTCCATCAAGAGAATTTAGAGAAAATAAATCCTGAGAACTAAATACTTTAAAGTTTTATGTTAGTAATGAAACATCAGAGATGCGTAAAAAATGTTGAAACACTAAGAATTCTATCAACATTTACTATAAAATCCATTTTAAGTAGGTACATCCAGCAATAAACGTCCATGGTGTTACTTACTTAGAAATCGCAATAAAATAATAACTAACAAAAATTTAAGTTTTCTAAAATCATAATCTCAACATCTGGATCAAAAATATTCTATCAAAACAAACTGAGGGTTCTTAAGAAAGAAATTTCAGATGACATGAAGCTGAAAGTTGTTAAAATTATAAAATTTGATTATTCTTACATATATATCTTGAGCATATGTCATTTTACCTCAGCATGAAACACCGGCTTTGTGGATATACTTTGTATTAGAAGACAACAGGATTATGTAGCAAGTTTTGATAAAATTGTAGAAAGATTTAGAAAATAAATTCAGGAAAAATGGTTGAGTTACACCAAGGACATATTCATAACACAAAGGACATAAAAGTAACACAAAAGACGTTTTGTTCAAATCTAAAGAATAAATAATAAATGTGTTCCCCTTCCCCCGAAAAAAGCACAGCAATGGCATTATCTAATAGATGTTAATGAAAGTATATGATTTTAAGAAAAAAATTGCTTGAGATTTCATTTCTTTCTACATTTGGAGTCCGACTAGTAACACCAATGATTAAAAAGTAACAACATAGACATAATTGTCCAATTATAAAGATACGCAAACATCAACAAAAAATAAAAATAAGTTATGCATGAATAATGCAGGATTACTATCATGGGACCTAGAATCATTGATCGGTGCATGTACAAGTATTTGTATGTCCAAAAACAAGTTGTAACACCAAAGACAAAAGATAACATAAAGGACATCTCATTCTGTTTGTTGTTTTTACATACAGCCTCCTTCCACACTGGGCTATCTATTTGATACTTCCTACCTACGGTATGTGGAGGACGAATTATAACCAAAACGACGTCACCTATGTTGTACTAATATTCATCTTTTAAAGTTCTTGGTCAAATTTAGTTTTTTTTATTTTCATTACAGCTTTGATCATACATGAAGCTCTGATTGTCTCTTATCCAGTGTTTCAGCATTTTTATCTGGTTTCTTTTCCAGGATCTCAATGTTTCCAGTATTTTTATTCATTTTTTTTTCTGGGAACTCTGGTTTCTCTAGTTTCTCTTCATATGTACTCTTTTGTCTGCCCTTCCTTTTTTTATAAATTATTTAATTTTATATTAAGTGTTGATCAGCTGCATAAAGAATATACCTTTGCCAAATGCCTATTTGTTGTTTGAAATAAATTTCAAGATATGCTGGGAAAGATAGAGATCCATATTAAGTACTGCCTCTACTATAATGTCAACTCTTACTTCAGCGCTCTGACTTCATTCCAGAAGTTTTAATATACTTCTATAGTGTAAGGTTTACAAACATTATATTTCCAACCTTTACGGGGAAAATCAATTAGACAAATCTGTATGAAGAGTATCTTCATCTACATTCAAACAAAAATTCATGATTGGTGACAGATGCATTGTTCCTCTGAAATATAATCCTTGATATCGCTTTTGATAGTGATGAAAAATTCGTAACTATTTCATCGTCGGACATACACATTCCATGCTAGAATAGTCAAATGTTCTATATCTGACGTTACTTTGAAGGTGTCTGGTTTCTTTGATCTTTCACTTGTCTGTCTGTCTCTTTTTTGCAACTTTTGAAATGTTTCGTCCTTCCAATATCTTCATCGAGAGAACATAACATAGAATCAACAGGTTTCAGAGTAAAAAAAATGTCATATATCATGAAATCCTGGATTTTTATTTTATTCCCTTGTGTTCCTATACTTCCCTGGAGTTACCACTTTAACCATCTCGTTTTTAAGGACTTCATTATATTTAATGTAACTCAAATTGTACCATCTCCCCACAATTGTTTTCTTTTATATATTGAACACAATTACGACTTCATACATGGTATTTTTATTTCATTTTTCTATCTTAAATGCTTGTCGTGTCCCTTGTGTAACTGAATTTGTCTATAATGTTACCATAGTTAAGTATTATAGGGTTAAAAAGGGGTAAAGATGTATTTCATAAGAAATTTTGATATTTCAATTTACTCAAAATAAATAATTCTCTCTACTCTACCGCTGAAGCAAGAATAACTACAAGAGTATATTAATAATGAAAATGTTTCATCATTTTGACGTCCATAGAGTTACCAAATTTGTCCTTTGTGTTACAGTCATATCATTTATTGAATGAATTTGTAGCGTGTATAAAATATTATATGTAAAACATATGATCAGATGATACAAATATTATTGATATACTATTTTCGATAAACTTTACACATTATCTTTTATTTTTAAATTGTAAATAATGAAGTTTCTGTACAGATTGTCCATAGAGTAATTAAATACGTCCGTCGAGTAACTTTTCCTACAGTAACAAAATGGACAGTAACGCCAGGGAATTACTACATCAAAAGTTACAAGTAAAAAAGCAATGGCTGCATTAAAAAGATATAGCACAGCTCCTACATCATGTGTATTTCACTTCAAAGTCGCTCAATGCATCACAAACATTATATATTAATTTATCTTCACATTATTTAAGTAACTCCAAGGACCTGAAAATAAATTACTCTTTCAACCAACCTCAACTGAAACCAAATATTGTGTCTACGGGGTGAAACACACATGTTTTGTGTCTTTTTATATTTTGGCGGGATCAATATCTTTAGAAGGCGGCTGATGCTGAAGAGTTCCTTCAAGAAAAATAACTGTTACAGATAACTTTTATGTCTTGGTTACTCCAAGGACACGGCGAAAATCACAAAGTTTTTTTAACGTTTATTGCTTAAAAAATTATATTCTTACTTTTTTCAGTCACCTTTTAGCATTTTTTTAAACAATGTTAAGTATTTACAATACATTAAAGGTATTTTATACTCCCAAATTATATTTACTGTCTCAATAAGGAGGGTTGAAAATACACCCTCGGCGAAATCACAAGCAATTTTCTTAAATTTAACTCATACTGAAGGATTTTTTCAGTATTTATATCAATTTTTAATCATACTTTAAATAGGTTCTCTTAATTTTAGATCATTGTTAAGTTCATGAGCACAAAAAAGTTTTTATTTTATTAAAATATTTACCAGAAAACTTGTATCACTGAAATCTGGACATTTTTTGAGAATGACCCATATAAAACCATTTTAAGTGTTATTTTTATGCAAGCAGCGATATTTATGTTTAAAATAAGGGAATTCCAAAAAGATCCGCTCCTATAGAACCTAAATTCTCATTGGCTGTCCCAAAATACAATCTATCAAGGTCAGTAAACATGGCGGATAATTTCGAGTTGTGATGTTGACATACACGAAAAATTAGCGATATAGGGATCGTTCTGTATATTTTTGCATTGGTTTACGTCTTGGATGACTACTTATTTGGAGTCAAGGTAAGAAATTTTAATAAAATAGCCATTTACTGTTAATTTGAGCCGAAATCCGTGCGGGAGCAAATCACTCCCGCAGCTGCACCATTATAGAGATCCTAAGGAGTTGTAGCCCTCTCCCAAAAAAAAAAAAAAAAAAAAAAAAAAAAAAAAAAAAAGGGAGAGGGCTACATTATTGCAGCTAGTTTAGTGATAATACAAGAATAAAGAGCTCTCCTAAAGGGAGACGTCCATAAGAGACAAGACCTAACTTAGATAACTACTAAGTTTAAGTTTCCATAAATGTCCTACAGAATTATTTCCTTTCTTTCTCATATTTAACTCCAGTACTGTCCATATCCAATAGAAAAGTACAATTTAAAAAAAACACTACTATCTACTTTTAATTTTTAATTTTAATGTTTTCTTTCCACCAACGAAAAAACCAATCTTGAGAAACATGAATGTTATTTATTTTCCATGCAGAGATCTCGCAAGCCATGTGGCGGAAAATAAATATTCTAAAATAAATACAAGAATATAAGAACTGTGTCAATGTACTCGTATATTATAAAAAAACAATTAAGGAATGAAGCTTATTTCAACTTTTGTATACGATGTAACATACATGTAACTTGGGACTGTTTACGCTTTATAAATTGCAAAGTGGTTTATAAAAAAGCGTAAACTGTCCCAAGTTATGTTATATCGTATGTTGAAATAAGCTTCATTTCTTTAATTGTTTCTATAATATAAATTATATATTCTATTGGAATTCCAATAGATTTTTGAAAGTCCTGGTCGCAGGATCTTGAAACAGACTGAGACTTAAGTCAAAATTGTAATTGCCTGAAAGATGTTTATGAATAACTGAACGAATCTCTACTTTTGCTGTTCACAACATTTTTGTAAATCAATATAAAAATATATTTTAATTGTTGTCTACTTGACGTAATCAAAATTCTAGTACAGCATGAATATTTTGACTTAAGCTTAAGATGTTTCATGATCCTGGTCTCTGGTCTCCAAAGAACAATAAAGACATTGGTAATCAGAAACAGAAGCATCTTTTTGATGTCAATATCATAGTACTTGTGTGTACAATCAGAATATTTTTAACAAAATAATTTTGCAAATGACAAATGACAAGGTAAGTAATTTTACGAAAATGCAATGAAATTTTAAAAAATTAACTTTAAATTATTGTGGGTAATAGACGTGTTTAAAGTTGAAAAGTCGTAAGTTTTTATGTTCTTGATTTTGGTTAAATCTTGTGATTTAAAATTTTCCAAAAGTTCCTTGAAATTTGAATCTAATAATTATAATGAGGCAATTCACTTTGTCTTAAACGTAGCCATTCGTGTGTGCTAAGATCAGACCTTCGCCAACGACCAAACGAACAAACAATTTTAGACAAAGCCTAGTTATATGTCTAAAACATATTCAATGCAATTAAACATTACAGACTATTTTTTGAAGTGTGATTTTCTTTTTCTTTATTCATTCATTTATTTATTTATTGTTTTTTTTTTTTTTATTTATTTTTTTTTTTTGCTTAGAACTTAGAACATGTCCAAATATGAAATTACAAAACTTTCGACAAAATAACCTGTATGTTCTGTGTAAAATACTGATTTCAAGGTGTTTTTTTTTTCTTTAGCTGATGTTCCTATTGGTGGAGCATGTGTGTCAGATATCCACTGCAGAGACAAAACATACTCTGGTATTTGCTTACATTCAACTTGTACGTGTGGAGAGGGATATGTGTACAATGCAAGCGAGAACAGTTGTGTTGCAGGTAGCTATTCTAACCAAGATTCTTTTTTTAAATCAATTAAAATAAGATATACTGAATGCCATGAGTTTACGGTTTTTGAAACTATTGTTTTTTCTATAATCAAAGAGTGATTGGACGAATATTATTATGCTTTCAAAGAAAAGTCTGGGTAAATATAGTCTTGGTAAATATAGAATTTACTCCTACTTTAGTCGTTATTTCTCTGTACTAGTTCAAAAAGGGGCTTACAAGTTCATTTCAATTTCCAACTTACAGTTATAGACAATTACTGCTTATGTACGGTATCTATCTAACAACAATGACATTTGCTGATTTTATCATTACTGCCGATGCAGATAAACTTATACGTTTTACTGTTCCTGCTGAAATACTCAGTCCGTAACAACTCATATCGTTAAAATGAAACGTGTTTTGAAATTTTAGGCATTATTGTATTGCTCTCGAAAAGATAAGTAGATTACAATGTTTAAATAACATAATTGGATAGGTATTAATACATAATTGCAATGTCAGGTTCACATAATAAACATTTCAGAGTAATAAGCGATCCTTGTAGATAAAATATGATTGCTCTTTATGCTGCCCTATTTTTTTAACGAGGCCCGATCTAGTTGAAAATTACTAAAACGGAATGCTAACAGATTTTAATTTTTGGAAATATTTTTGTATGTATTATGCTTAGAAAAATTAGAACGAAATTTTGTTACCTTACCTTTATTGTAGTAAAATGGGGGCACTGTCAAGATATGGACCATTTTTCATGTTTTAATACACAATTACATAATAAAATTCTCCAATAAACAAAGAAATTGAAAATTAAAAAAAAATACATGGTGAAATGTTTTGTTTTTCACATATATCATGCAATTTTTATTCTTCTTATAAAAAATGAAAAGAAAATTGGAGGTAGCCTTTATTGCAGTGAAAAGGGGGCATATCAGAACACAAAATTAGGATTTATCTTATCCAACTAGATATGAAATAAGTCGCCATGGGTTTACATAACATCAATAAACGATTGCAATACTGTATTGGTTTCTAAAAAATAAATAATTCTTACATTTTGAAATAATTTTCTCTCCGTGCATTATTTTTTTTTCTTAACAAGCGACGTTGTTATTCGTGAAAAAGGGGGGGGGGGACAAAAAGGCGACAAATGACGAATTTTACTAATATCATGTAATATATAGGAAAATGAAAATAATATTTCGGGGTTGCATTTAAACTGTTCATAGACTGATTTTTTTTTTTTAACTCAAACTGATCTATGCATATTTAAGTCCTCAATATAAAAAGGGTGTGTATAAACACTTCAACATGTTCGAACAAGAAAGACTAAAATCGTTTACTTTTGGTTGCAACTTGTTTTTTTAACTCACAAATTGAAATAAAACAAGGAAAAATTGATGAATATGTACCAAGAAATTGATACCTCAAAATAAATCATGCTCCAAAGTTGTTCATTAATTAAACAAATATTTAAAAAAAAACATGTAAATAATAGAAATACCAGCTTTCAACATGTATATCCTATAGAGCTACCAGGTATCCAAGATCAGCGAAACATTTTAGCGCAAATTGACGTCATTTTAATTGTGACGTTACTGTGTTCAATTGTGACGGCAGTCTAGGGTACTGTGACGTGCCTGAGTCGACGCTGCGTTAAAACGTATGCGTAGTTCAAGTAGATTGGGCCTCGTTAATTCCAAATTTTGATTTTTATCAACAAGAATAGCACTTGATTAAAATGGAAAATAGATTGAAGTATGAAGCGTTGTTTACTATTTCCAGAAATAAGTTTTATTTCAAATCATGGTGTGAAGAATACTCTCATATATGTACTTATCTAATTCACATAAGAAAATATTACGACGCGTTGCTTAATAAATAAGAATTTAAAGGAGCTGAATATAAATGTTTTAGGTAAACTATTCTGAGTCATTAATATAAGCATAGGCAATATAAAATAGAAATTAATATTAATACAATAGACCAAATTTGTATGGGAAGACTATAATTGAAAAAATCTAAGTGAAAATGCATACATTTTATTTTCTTTGGCATTTTTAAATAGATTTTCAGTACAATGGTATTCTATGAAAAAAGGAAGATAATGCATGTACCATTCATAAACGAAATGATTAATTAAGGAAATTTAATTTTAGCTGATCATCCTGTTAATGGAATATTTGTGCCATACATCCAGTGCAAAGACAGACTCTTTTCTGGTGTTTGTTTGGATTCGAGATGCCGATGTGGAGAGGGATTTATTTCACGAGACAACAAATGCCTTGCAGGTAAAGGATCATGAAAATGGAAACCTTTATCTAAGGGGTAACAGGCCTTGAGGTTAAAAAATCTATTCTTTGTATTTTTCTTATATTCTCTACATTTTTATTTAGTATGTCCTACACATTTCAAAGCAATTTTTTCTTCAGATTTCTTGATATCACCATACAAATATCGTCAATATATATTGTCTATATATTGTTTTGATTCTTTGTGTTTACGGATCCATTTCTGAGTCTATATCAGAAATGTTGAAGTGCATACAACAAATATTCAGAAATCGAGGATTGTCCCAGAATTTTATACACGAGGCTAATATCTCTAAAAGAAATTTATGTATCTTTATATGATTTTCTGGGTTGATAACACAAAATCCTGCGAAATGAAATATCTTACAATTAAGAGAATCTCTGCTCCTAAAAATGTAAAATTTATTTTAATTCCTATTTTAAAAATAGATATGTATTACGATGCACTTATTCTAATATGTTCTATGTTATTTACCTTATCAGGTCCAACCAGGTAAACATGTATATGGCGTCACTGACATAATAGACTGTAGCGTTTAACAAAAACCAAGAAGGATGGATAGCTCAATTTCACAATTTTAAGAGCACTTCTCTGAAACCACTTAAACTACGTTGCAACGCATGGTCATCGATTTTGATGAAACTTCACCCATTCTTAGTACTTGACACCAGAAACATATATCGAATAATTTTTTGGTTGCTATGTTTCTTGATTGCCTTGGTAACAGTAACAAAAATGTGAAAAATTGAGATTTTCAGATACTTTAAATCTTTACTGCACCTTAATAAAAACAAGGAAAATCAAACAAACCATTCTCACAAAAACATGACACTTCTAGAATATATCTCTAAGAACAATGTAAGTGGTAACCAGGGTAACAGTTTGTATACATTTTTAAAAAAAAACTGAAATATGCTAAAAATGCTCAGCATTCACTGATGGTAGGTATTACATGTTTGAACTCAATCAACAACTTAAGAAAAACAAGGCAAATGTTTGTACTTCAGTATACAGGTATAAGTAATATTATTCTACAAATAAATTTTATGATTGCCATGGTAACACAGTGTAACCAAGTAAAATCAGTTACTAGGACCCAGTTACTTGGGTTAATACCACTTTTTGAGGAAAAACATGAAACTCAAGACTGCCAGATATGCATCCTTTGAACCTTGCATCAACAACACCATAAAAAAATGGGATTTATTGCTACTTTGCAGTGTCACCAAGGAAAAGATGCACCTAATTGCTAAAAGTGCATTTTCTTGGCTTCTTTAAGAATTTATTTTCCATTAATTCAAGAAACATATTATATTACTCACCTTGAATAGTACTAATCTGGTTGAACTAAAGTTGAATATCATATATTAATAAAATTTTATGAAGAAAACAACGCTGTTGCTATGGTAACGAAAAAGGAATATGTTCACATTTGTAATATTTGATTCAGTTTTAAATCCTGTGTGCGAGCATTTTGCATCCAGTTAGAGATTGGATGATAGTCAAAATTAAAAGCCAGGTTAGTCCTTAATAACCATCAATTATTTAAGTTTTGTGAATCTACATTGATGGGTACGTATCAAAGGAAACAAAATATTTTGAAGCTCTTTTTTCTGCTTATGTCCAAAGCAACGCTCAATTTAAAGAATCTGATTTAGATTTTTTAATGGGAAAATTGGGACCACACCAACAGCTTTAAAAATTAATCATCAATTAGAAAGAAATGTTTTTTTTCTTTAAAGATAGGATCTCATTTAAACATACAGAGGGTATATTTTAAGGGTTTCTATGGTTAAAAACTTTGATAACCATTGGACAACCAAAATAAAATATCATAATTTGTTCTAGGTATATGTTTCAAGGCTCTTTTCTCTATTATTTAGTCACATTTATTCCAGTTTTTTTTTTCTTTTTCATTTTTACGTGTATGACGTTCTACAATTCATTGAATATTTTTTAATACTTTGTTACGATAGTAACGTATGCAATATTTGATTTACCAAACATGTTTATCATGCATTTCAGACATCAAACTTTAAGCTTTAGGAAACAGTCATTTCTAACCATTCGCTTTGCCACAAATGTAAATTAACTATGGGGCCATAAACATGTTAAATATGCCGTTTTTCAAACTTTAAGACGTGTTGGTAACTTTATCACATAGCAACCAAATTTTGCGCTAAATTAGTTTAGGGTATCAAAGACTTTTATCAAAAAGAGGTTAGTAAAATTCTTAAACTATGCGTGCCACTGCTCCAGGGATCCTATATAAATGTTGAAGTCATTACAGAGAATGGTTCTTAAATATTTACACGATCGATTAAAAATATTAATTGTTTATAACATTAAGAGCTTAAGAAGTTGAACAAAATTTACCCGAACAAAGATGATTTTAACATTGTTTAGCATCTACATTAACAGTGAATGTGACTCAGTAAACTCAGTCATGTGACATGTGTCCTGTCATCCCTGAAACAAAGAAACTGTTCCGAAGTTTAAATCGTTTTTAACACAACCTAAGTTTTGATTTCTAAGCAAATGCTTTCGATTGATCATTGAAACAATGATATACAAAATATAACTGTTTTCTTTCCTTTTAGAGACATCTGGTACATTTTTATTGCTTATATACATGTATATTGTATTATTGGAAAAGCGAGGCGAAATTCCCAAATGATAATCTCTGTTTGTCTTTATCCAGGGATGTTTACATATTTATTTAGTTGACCCACCAGTGATATAGATTTGCATTTAGATTTTTTTTTATCGATATGAAGCATACGCCTGTCTTTTATCACAAGTAGTCCGTTTTCAAATAGCATAAAGCACGTTGGATATTTGTATCTATCGTGAATAAATCTGTAAGTTTTCTGAACATATGACTTATGCAAACTTCATGAATAGATACTTCTACTTTTGGTCAAAAATATTGTGCTAACAACTAACTAAGGCATTAAATAATTTTATCTGAATATGCAAAGTTAAATTTGTTATTTGGGCAACTATTAATTTTGAAAATGACAAAGAAGGATTTGTACATGTAACTATATACCTTGATGAAGAAGGTTTTTTTACATAACTAACGATGTTGGAAGGGGATTTTTTATATGTACCGTCTTTTACCCAAACGTCTTTTTTCCCAGCCTCAATAGCGGTATAACTCCCAAAATTTAACACAAATTAAACAGCATATTACTTTGTAGCTAATGTTTCTATTGGTGGTGAGTGCATAGAAGATTCTCAGTGTTCGGATGGAACTTACACTGGAGTTTGTGTGAATTCGAAATGTACTTGTAGAGAGGGATATTCTTCTCGGGGAAATAAATGCCTTGCCGGTAAATTAAAACTTCAATTAAAATCAAATTCTGATATAATATATTTGTATGTACACTCAATCATTTCATTTTGTTTAAATTGGCACAAAGAATCATTTTTTTTTTCATTTCTCCATGTATGTAATAGCCAGGTGTATACAAGCTTTCGTTTTTTTATATCAACTAAAGTAAATTTCAAAAAAATATTGTAAAAAAACATTCAGAGAATGTGGCTCTTGGTGGATATTGCCTTTTGAGTGAACAGTGTACGGGCAGTATTCATGCGGAAGTCTGCAAGGATGAAAGATGTGTCTGCAAGAGTGGTTATGTATCATATAACCAAACATGTTATCGAGGTAAATTAAATCTATTCAATTTGGTACAGTTAACAGGAGATCATATTTTATCAAATGCTATCTCTCTATCTTTCTCTCTCTCTGTGAGTATGTGCCAATAATGTTGTGAAGATGCATGCGTGCGATTTACTACGCCGTTATAAGTAGAATTTATGATAAACACTTATCAAGCTGCTAAAACAAGATGAACAGCAGTCTCGTTTAAAGTCACCATTTCGCTAGTTTTATGGTCGATACGATGACCTTTTCAGCAAATACAATTTATCATTGAGTAAAATGCTGACTGATGTTTTTCATACTTATTATTTCATTAAATTTCCGATCATGACAAGGAGCACGCGTACGGATGGTGTGACCGTTCGGCAGGGGATGCTCATTCCTTCATAGCACCTGATCCAACCTCTGATGATTTGGAGATCCGTTTTGCTCTATTCCTATTTTGTATTGATTGTAGACTTTTTGTTTTGATTACAGTTCGTTATCTCCATTTGTTTCATCATTAACAGTCGTTTAACAAAATATGTCCAATTAACAATTTCTGTCGCCTACAAATTTACCATCGTAATAGCTTTATTATTAACTTAAAGTTTAACACCAAAAACAAACTTTGATTTTAATTTCGGTTCCATTCGGCATCTCATCGGTCATTCTTTACTGAAGATCAGAAACAGAAGAAAAGACGATTGAATTCAGTTTAATGTAAATAATGATAAAAGTTAAACATTATTTTCCGTAACATAAGGTTGATTCATGATCAATGAAAAATATAATTTTTGTAACAATTACTATACTAGATTTGTGGAAATTCTTTTTCTAGTTCCCTGATAGATTTTTTTGATAATAATTTTATTATTTTTGCTTAATTTCTTGTTAATGTTTATACCCTTTATTGGCATATTATCGTAAAATGACCGTAAGTCAAAAGCTGAATAATGTTTTTCAATATAAATACACAGATTTGTAGACGGATTTTCCAGTTATTTTGGGAAATGACAGAAAGCTATGGCACGCCCAAATTCACAAAAATGAGCTCAACATAGTTTCACAATTCATAAACTAGGTTTATCGACTGTAAACTATAGTTTACAAACTGTAAACTATAGTTAACAAATCGTTTACTATGGTTTTCATCAGTAAAACTATATTTAGTGGTTGTTAACTATAGTTAACGGATGCGAATCTAAGATTATCTTTCAGTAATAAAACGTTAACAGTTACAATAGATTTTATTGATAAACATAGATTAACGTCTGTAATCTATAGTTTACAATCGTGAACTTTAGTTAAGAGTTGTTAATCGTAGTTTCACAAATCGTTAAACTGAATTTATCAGATCGTTAACTATAGTTAAGAGTTGTCAACCATAGTTTACAAATCGTGAAATTATATTTATCAGATAATCTATGTTTTTCAATCGAAAATGTATGTGTTCAGTGTTAAGTATAGTTTACAGTTCTAAAACATTATAGCGTAAACTATGGTATACAGATGCAAAATATAGATTAAGGTTGTAAAGTTTAAACTAATAAACCTAGATAATCGACTGTAAAACTATGTTAAGCTCATATTTGTGAATTTGGCGTGCCATAGAATGCACAAGGATGTATTACGGGTCGGTACGGAATACTCACTCCTCCATGACACTTGATCCGCTAATGTTTTCGATGTCCGTGTTTACTCTGTACTAATTTTGTATTGTTTGATGGACTTTTGAGTTTTAACACTGTTTGTTATCTAAATACATTGCATTTCTCAAACAGTTACATATGTAGAACATTGTAGAACTGTTTTACATGTAGTTAATCTCGGGAAAATTTCGGTATCAAATCAGATGAGATCAAGTAAATATAAATTTAATTCTTCCAACTTGATTTTCGACTGAGCATCAGGGTTCAAAGTATCTGTTGGTAAACTTTTCCCGAATACCATGAGATTTGGTGCCGAGCGAAGCGAGGGACCAAATCGGATGGCGAGGGAAAAGTTTAACAACATACTTAGTACATGCTTCACACGAGAGATTAGGCCCTTTGTGTCTCTGTCTATTTAATTACAAACCCTTGTGGGTTCTTATTATTCAATCAAGATAAGGATAGTTTGACCCTAACTGTTGCAATTTTGTACAGGCCCAGATGTGATAATTTTACCCTCGGGGTAATATCTACCTGTCATATCAGTTTTACAGTGAGTAGTTTTCAATACAGGTTCATTTCTATAGATTCAAAAATCTCTGTATGAAGATAGTAATGTCATTTTGATGGATTTAAGTCGGGAGCATTTTATTTTTGTGGACATTATTAAATATTTGTTTTTGGTGGTAAAATTGATCAATTTCTCCTGAAAGCAAAGAATTGCACTGAAAATGAAAAGCAGGAAAAGAACGCTTTACGCTTGGATATACATGTACACTACTTGAGTAATATAGGACGGTTCCAACGTATTTGAACTTCTTAAAAAAGATCATATTTAGACCTTTTGCTGTTTCCCAATCAATCTATGTCTGTTTAATTGGAATCAAAGAATAAATTAAATAGTAAGTAATAATTTCATTGTTCTCACTTCTCAGTGCAATAATTCTGATTAAAGTAACAATATAAATGGTAAATCCTAAATATTCAATCAAAATTACTATACATTTCTTAAATTTCTCTTTTACTTTTGATTTTAAATAAATTTTTTAATTTTTTTTATTTTGGCTAAAGTTGAATAATTCAGGAAGAAAGACAGGGGATGAGAAAGAGATTTTTCTTCCTGTACTAATTTATGTAACTATGTTACAGTAGATTTTTTGGACTATGTATCACATCAGGTCCATTATTCATTGTCTGGTGACTTTGCCCTGTGTCCACGATTGTAATTACCTATCATTGGTAATGATTTGCTCAATAATTATGCACACAATCGCAGAGTCGCCCAACCATGAAGCTTGGGCTTGGGGTGTACCAAGTGATTTGGTAGCAGCAAAATCCTTAGTTCGAGCTTTGAAACATGTACTAATGATATTTTTTTAAATATCCTTGCATGTCGTATCTAATATAGTGGTATACACACCTGTAACGTACGTACAATTTCATATCTAGAAGCTTAATATTGCACTGTTGCGTAACTTCATGAAATTCTTTTATATTCATACAATTGGGTGGCAATTTGTAACCGGTTAATCGATTAAACGGTCGGAACGATGCTATTCGGTTAGAAAATCCGTAATGCTATGTTCCCATTATTACGATTGGCGCCACGATTGAGATCGGGGACTCGAACGTGGACAAATCGTAGTTCTCGTATCAAACCGAAACAAATCTTGTGTTCACTCGTGACTATCGTGTTGATCGTGAATTTTTTTTTGACTGACAAAAATTTTTCTACGATTAACACGATTAGATTTTAATCGTTAACATCGCAGCAAATTGCATTACATCGTAACTAACCTCAGCTGCATCGTAAGTAAACGTAACTAATCTGGCTTGTATATCGTGATCATCGGGATCGATCTCGGAAAGGACAGACATCCCGCTGAATGGCGATTCGTTGCGATATCTCACGTTCTGTCACCATCTGTGACGCTTTGCGTGGCCATCTGCTCACGTGCTGACATGGTTCTTTCCCGCTCAAAGACGATTTGATACGGACGTATGAGAGTAAACGCCATTAGACACGAGTGTTAAAGCCCCTTTCACAATTGGCGCACGAGCAGAAGCGACAAAATATTCGTGCGACCGAGGAATTTTGTTTAGGATCGTAAACTGTTGCCAAAATAATCGCATATGAAAAAAGTGTTCGTACGGAATTCGCGCGATCTACAGCGACTGTTGTGCATTAAATCCTGCGATATATCTTGCGTCTATATGCGACTGTTGTAGAATGAAAGCGAGTGTTGTAAGATAATGCGATAGGATTGCACGAGTGATCAGCTAATCGGACGATTGAACGTGCGACAATACGATTGGACGTGCGGTGCTCGTGCGCTCATGCAGTCCATAGTACGAAAGTTCGTGCGAGTCAGAGGGCCTAGTATGTATACTACCCGTTTCCGACGTTCTTCAGTTGACAAAATTAAGATGTTTATAATTATACACGGTATATAAATACCTGTTGCAAAGCATGGCAATTAAAGGTGATTAATCTAGCAATGATAGTAAAACGTTGCAAGATTACATGAGACAGCTGCGATTCATCTCACGATCTTTAAAAATCATACATCATTCTTACGAGTACATAAAACGTTGTAAGACGTTCGATCGTACTAATATTCGTGCAATGAATTGCGATAATTTTGATCGCATTTGGTCGCGTCTGAATAGTGTGCATGTTGACTATTTTGAGGAGACTTGATGCGACCTCTAAAACACAGGCAATGAGTGCGAGACATCGTTCAACGTATGCGAGAGCTCGTGCGAAGCTAAAATTTTCCGATCGCAAAGTGTTGTAAAGTGCTCGTGCGCCAATTGTGAAAGGGCCTTAACGCTTTGTTGCGGACAATCACGCTATATTACGAGTACTTAAGCTTGCAAAAATAACGGGAAAATTGAACGCGTTTCTTTCCCGATTGAAAAAAAATATGTCTGAGTTTTGGAAAAATATTTTAAAGATGCCACATAAAACAGGTACAAAATAGAAAGAGGGGAGTTTCCATCTTATTCTGAACTTGAACCCGTTCGATCAGAGGCAACATCAGTGAAAAAAAGATAAGAAATATTTATTCTGCTCTTTTACTCTACTTGGACAGCAATAACATATGTCCATAGTTACACTACAAACACCGCGTTTATGAAGTTGTCATCAACCTTTACTTCTGCCATTATTAATGATTGTATGTTTATCTTTTGTTTAATTTCAAGAGATAAAATATAATGGACTCGGTATAGCCAAATTTTTATATGTCTGTCGGGGTACAATCGTAGCTCAAAGCGTGTTCTATCTTGATTCTGATCGTGAAAGACATTGCAATGAACGTGTTATTCTATCGTACATTAGCGCAAGAGTGCGCAATGAACGTATTATAT